ATACTACTCCGTATTGTTTTTTTAAACCCGATAATATATTACTTGTACTAATTTTAGTGGAAAAAAATATAAGTACATACATAATTTTTTTTATGCAAAGCTGTAAAATAAAATTCATATTAACAACTAATATAAATTTAGTATGTGAAATTGGTTCTTTTCTAAAAAAAATTATTGACGTTGTAACGAAATTTCAATAACCATCTATAATAAGATTGTGACTCCTAAAGTTACATTACTTCCAATGACGGATCTTAAACTAAAAAGTAGGGGGGCATTTATGTTTTGAACTTAAACTAGTTAGTGACCCGGGCGATGCCTCGGATTTTTTTAGATGATTGTGGATATAGTGGTTGCTTATGATTTTAATATCATTATCCCGTATTACATAAATTAAAAGAATAATTAAAACAATGTTCTTCTCGAGATTTTTTGATAATTTACAAAACTATATTTTTTTTGAAATCCTAAAATGCAAAACTAATAGTTATATGGAGTAAATAACAATACTGCTTGGACTCTTATCCAGCAAACATTATTCATTGGGATATACTAATAGTATTGTTTATCAAGCAAATCATATAAAGAGTCCAATATACATAATGTGTTCCATTTTTTGCTTGTCATGCTTCTTTGTAAAGTGATGACCTCTAAAATTAGCCTTGAAGTCTCGAGCAACACTACAAATAAAAAAGAATAAAAAAAATATATAATCAACTACAAACTGAGAAAAAAGAAAGGCTCAAGAGGTCTTTTTGCTTTGAAGATTGACTTACAGAAAGCATATGATAGGCTAGAGTGGGCTTTCATAAATCATTGTCTTCACTATTTCAATTTCTCAAAAGACTCGATCCATCTCATAATGTCTTGCATCTCCTCTGTGTCTTCTCAAATTCTCATCAATGGGAAGCTTTCAACTCCTTTCCACCCCACCAGAGGCATTAGACAGGGGGATCCCCTCTCACCCTATATTTTCATTATTTGTCTTGAATTTTTAACTAGATAAATTCATGACCAGTGATCTGAATAAATGGAAAGCTTTCAGGTTTAGGGGGGGTGACATCTATTTCCCACCTATTATTTGCAGATGATGTTTTACTATTTGGGGTTGCAGACAAGAAAACACTGCACTCCCTAAGTGAGACTCTCAGAAATTTTTGCTCTATATCTGGGCAGAAGATCAATGAAGAGAAGAGCCAGATTTACTTCTCTGGTAACACTGCAATCCACATAATTGATGATTTTGAGCAGACATTAAATGTCACCAGATCCTCAGACCTAGGAACCTATTTAGGATATCCTTTATCTGAGAAAAAACCAACCAGAAGGAAATTAAATGTGATTATTGAAAAAATTGGTAAAAAAAATTGCCTCTTGGAAAGCAAACACACTCTCTAAGGGGGGGGGGGGGGACTCACTCTTCTCCAGTCAACCATGTTTTCCATTCCCAGATACTACATGAATTGCCTTAAGCTTCCCAAATTTATCCTAAACAAGCTAGATTCCATGCGATCAAACTTTCTATGGGGGGGGGGAACCTCACTAAAAAGAGAATAACTTGGATAACTTGGCAATCTGTGTGTCAACCAAAGGAAAAGGGAGGGTTAGCTTTCATGAATCACTCTGGCATCAACTTACTCAGTCTAGCAAGATTGTGTTGGATGGTGGACACACAATCAATCTCGGCAGGAAAACTCCTTTTTGAGAAGTATGTTAGGAATAAAAATAATCCAACCCCTTTCAACAAAGGTTCACACATTTGGGCTGCTGTAGGAAGGGGGTGGGATTTGTTTCAACACAGTCTAAAGTGGGAGCCAGGGAATGGGAATAAAGTCAGCTTCTGGGATGATAAATGGCTACAGCAGGATTCACCAAGGAACCTGATTGCTGGACCCTTACCTCACCTCTCTCAATCTAAGTCACTCATTTCCATCAACCCCTCTTCTAGATCTGATTTGGAGAATGAAATAGGGTTCCAACTTCCAAATGAAATCTTCCTTAGAATTTGTAGTGTTCACCTCTCCAGCAGGGAAGACTACAACTTCACCAGTTGGACAAAGAAAGGTAAATTTGATAGTGTTGCTGCTAAAGAGTGGTTACTTTGTAACTCATCTCATCCTACACTATTTACTGAATGTCAGTGGTAATGTATCTGGGAGGTTCATACTCTTCCAAAAATACAGATTTTCTGTGGAAATTAGTTTGGGATAGGCTACCCACATCGAAGAACCTGCACATAAGGCACTGGAAGCCAGAAAATCATTGCACCTTCTGCCCTTCACAATCAGAAACCTCCACACACTTGTTTCTTCTATGTCCCAGAGCAGTTGAATTTTGGAGTAGCCTAACATCACCACCTTCTTGCTCCATGAACCAGTCAGAATCCTTCCCAGAATGGCTTCAGAAACCTAAAGTAAAAAGAGCCCAGCCAAAATAACATCCCATGGAATATCAATTTCACATTTGTCCTCTGGCATATCTGGAGGAGAAGAAACTCTTGGATTTTCTCAAACACAAATTCCCCTGTCAAAACCTCTACATCCCAGTGCATTTGGGCTGCTACTTAATGGTACTTCTCTAATGTACATTCAGCCAGATCAGAGCCCAAATCTTTTGCTTGGGATCCTCCCCCCCAAAACTTCCTAAAAATAAATGTGGATGCTTCCTTCATCAAACATTCCAAACAAGCTGGATGTGCAGGTATCTCCAGAGATGATAAAGGAAATTGGATTCAAGGTTTTCAATGGAAGGGCTACTTCTCATCAGCTAAAGATGCAGAACTAAAGGCTGTATCTCTTGCTTTAAACTGGATCACGGAGAATGGGTGGCAAAACTGCCACATTGAAACAGACTGCAAAACCATTGTACTTGAGCTCACTGACAGAAATAATACTGTGCTAACACCATCAATACATGAATGCAGGGCACAGCTCCAGCAACTAACTGAAGTCAAGCTGTACTATGGAAAGAGGGAAGAATGCGGCTGCTAACATCTTGGCAAAGGAAGCAAGGACCAGCTTAAATGAACTGAGCCAACCTTTTGTATTAGATCATCCTCCCGCAGCTTGTATTAAGTATTTACTTTCATACCGTAACAATGTAACAAACCAATAACCTGACCAAGATGTAATTTTGCCCCCCCTTAGGGAGAGGCAAGTGGTTGTAAACTCTATTAACTCCTTAACTATTAATTAAGCGCCGTTTTTCCCTCAATAAAAAAAATGCAAACTAAGAGGCCAAACTGAGAGGAATGCACATCTAATTAGGGCATGTTCTCATTGACTAAACTCAGCTGAACTAAGCTGAACTGAACTGAGCTGAACTAAACTGAACTGAAATGAATATTTTATAAGAGAAGGAAATTAGGAGCTGAACTGAACTGAGCTGAGCTGAACTGAACTTAGCTGAGCTGGACTGAACTGAACTAAATAGAACTGAATTTCAACGTAAGAGACCAGGCCCTTAGTAGTATATACTTCGTAATAAGTAATTGATTGTGGAAGGTAGATGTGCACCAATATAATAATTGTACACCTATAGTCCTATAGATATAATAAGCATGTATTTTTTTTAATAAGGAGATAAGCATGTATCTACAACATATAACATGGTACAAGTAAAATAATGCAGTGACCAAGAAGCTTGATACCAACTAGCTTAACTTCAAGCCTTGGAAACTCTTGCTAGATTCACAGCTATAGATTAAAAAATAACTAACGAACTAATGATATACAGTATAGAAACTGATTTTCTTACAAAAATGATGCTGAAGAAAGTGATGCCACTTCAAAAGTACCCTTCTTTAATCTCTCTTACAATATTATAGAAAATTATGTGCTACAATTTTACTAAGAGCAATCACTGTAACAAATCTGGTACTTTCGACCACCACTAAGGTGGCAACAGGTTGAGCACATAACCACAACAGCTAAAGTTTGTATTTCTTCTTCAATTTTTCAGAGCTTATTTTTTTTAGTGTTTGATTTTATAATGATAGGTTGATCACATAGTCACAATAGCAAAGTGATTTATTTTATAAGGTTAAGTGTCAAAGTACTACTCCATAATATCAAACATTTAATTCAGCCATTAATTTCATAACTAAGCAGCTATAAAATGAGGCAATTCAAAAATTATCAGTAATTACTTTACTATTTTAATGGTTTGAATACTTCAATTGAGTCCAAAAAAAAAATAAAAAATAAAGTGACAAACTTCATTATGATTACTTATTCAACTAATTTATTATCATCTCAATTATTCAATATAATAAATTATTATTAATTTACAAATCAAGGCAATTAAATGATTTCGTATAACATTAAAGACAATTAGAAATTAAACCCAACTTAATTTAGGATACCATGATTAATAGGATTAGTTCGGTTACCTTTTTTTAGGGGGGTTTGCAAGTATAGGTATCTTCTTGGTCCATTGTGATGTACCGTAATTTGAACCCCATGCTACTACCCATCCTCGACTACGATAGCCATGGCCTCCCGTCCTTATAACATAGACCAATTGATTGTACGAACACCGCCCATTTGATATGTGTTGGAGTTCTCCTTGGTTAAACCATGAAGATTCCATTTATTTTTGATTGACAATTTTGGGACTTTTGGTGGGTTTTGTGTGAGAAACAATTGATGGTAGATGAAGTTAGCCCATTGATTTGTTAGGAAAAAGACAAACTTTTTAAAATTTTCAACTAAATTGGGTATTTGAGTAATGGTTCTTTTAATATGGTGAAACGGATCGAATCTTGTTATAAACATACATTTTTGTTATATTTCTCAATACTCAACACCTATTACACATGTCATCGATATGATTATGTGGCAAATTAAAATATGACGTGGATTAATAACAAAAATCTAATGACACATGGTGATATGGCAATCCTTGCCTTTAAATTTTAATAATAATATATTGATAACGTTTAACTAAAATTTTAGATATATTTAACTATTAACAAATAACAATAATCTGACCAGTGTCAAGTTTAAAGCAATAAAGTGAATTGACCCTACCTAACTTTTAAAAGCTTGCTTCTTACATCTATAACCATTATAAAACATGCAAAAGTATTCACTGTAGCTGGTGAATAGTTCTTTTGCGTGTTATTACATAGAAACCCCTGAATTCAATGAAATGCCGAGTTTGCCCTTGCAGCCAGTTGTTTCCTATCTTGCCATGTGTATGGAAGTCCAGCTATTCTCCATGCCTTGGTTTGCCTGACAGCTAAGGTGCTTGTTGCTTGTACGAGTAGTTTTGTGTCTTGGATTTTTGATTCGGTTTTGCTTGGTTGCTTTGGTTTAGGTCTTTTGCTGGTTTGTTTTGCGAGCTTTTGGGCTTGATGATCAGGTCTGGAATGGAGTTCTCTTTCTGTGGCTCCGGTATGTTTTCTTGCTCTTTTTGTTATCTAGGTTGGGAGTGTACTTACCGTTCCTTTTCCTTGCATTGGAATGCCTTACTTGGCCGCCACTCTGCATTTTATAGGGTTATTGATGTCGGTGTGCTTGTTCACCATAGTGTATATAAATATCTTGAGGGTGTCTATTTTTTTGGACATGGCAAGCGATCCGTGCCCAGTAACAGTTTCTTTTTGGTGGTGGATGATTTGAGTTTCCTGTGCGCAGTAGTTTGTGTCAAAGGTGGTGCTTTGCTGTAGATGATATTACAATACTTATAGTACAGTCTTAATTTCTCCATATGCGCTTTGGTTCGGAATTTTCTAGCAAATTGAACCTTAACTTACTAACAGATTATTAGATGTAATGTGATATAATGACTAATATTGAATATACAATTACACAATGTGTGGATATGAATGTAATAGGTAGATGGGTTTAATTGTTGTGGTAATAGGAATATCAACAAATAAACTGATTTATTTGCATGTTCTTATTTTAGTTCTTTTTTGGGGTTACAGGTTCAGTGATATCATTGTTTGTGGTTTTGTTGTTGGACATTTGTTCAGGTACTTCTTTTGCTTTTTTTTTTTGTGTATTTGATGTTGTATTGTTAGGACCATGTGTTCTGTGTGGTGCTTTACTGGTAGCTTAGCTGCGTATAACAAATTTTTATTTATTAATCAAGTGTTTATGTAGTCTGTTTCATGTGTGATTTTAGTGAAAGCAGTACATGTTAACTACTGTATATAGAGGAAAAGAAATATCTGTCTGGTCAGTGGCGGAGCCAGGATTTTCAACTTGGGGGGACAAAATGCTTAACTTACGAAAAGCTTAACAAAAAATAAAAACAAAAAAAAAACTGAAAATGTACTTACTGATAGATGGGAAATATAAATGACCCAAACAACGTGCTGCATAGTTGGGATGCAAACTCGGTCAATTCGTGCACTTGGTTTCATATTGGTATATTACTTGCAACAGCGCTGACGATGTAAGTGAATACTGCATAATCTCTAATGGCTGCTTGGTTAACCAAGTCCAGAAACTGACAAAATAAACTTTGCAATTTCAGGAATTCAATTTTTGATTGCAAACCCTCAAGGCCAACTCCATCTCTATTGATTTTGTAACAGTTTAGATGTCAGATGGTTGAAACTAATTTCAATACATCTGAAGGGACCCTTTTACCTTGTCTGGCACAAAAAAGCACCGGTTTCCTGTGCAGTCTCTTGATAATTTTTTATGTAATTGTGGATAGCTTTGGCAGAGAATGTAGAAACAACCTCACTGAATTGACAAATCTGATCAGCCTGAATCTAGAACTAATTCCAACGGCTCTTGGCATCTGAAGTCATTTCGGTACCTGTAAGTGTCTCTTGATCACTATAAACCTCGTCTATTTTAAACAATCTTCATGTGTACATCCACAAGATCAAAAGGTTAAATTATTATCTTAATTTCTCCTTTTCACAAACCGTAGGTTTCACTATAAATTTCACGAATCAACAACAGTGCAGCATTAGCAACACTTAATTAAACTCAATGGCGTAAACTGCAGATGGATAATGCTGTTCATGCATGATTACTGTGGACATTGAATATTGCTTCCATTTATCTTGAAGTGTTGTAGATATCAAGTAAGACCACAATCCACATCATTACATAATAACAAAACCTAAGAGGCTAAGATTTTAAATTTCTAATTCAACTACACATTTCAATAATTTACAATAATTAATAATTTAAATTCACATTTCACAAAAACAACCAAAAACTCTAACAGGGGAAACAATCAAACAAATATAAATCAATAATCATTTATCAATTCAAATTATTCAATAATCAATACCCACAAGGCCACAAATGACAAATTCACAATAAAAATATAAACAATTAAACAATTAAACATTTAAACAAGTAATAAAAATATGAAATTCAGAATTTCAGATTTACTGTAAATTTAAACAATTAAACATTTAAACAACAAAACAAGTAATCAATTATTCAATTAATCATACATTCATTGATTCATACCTCCATTGAAATCCAGATTTACAGCAAATGTGTTATGCTTATGCATATGACGAAGTCACGAAGACACGAAGTCACGAAGGACGAAGGCTCAAGGGCGGCTGTTGAACCTCGTCACTGCTGCGAACTGCCGGCGAACGGTGGACGGCGTCACGGCGAGCCGGCTAGGCGACAGGCGAGGGCGAATCGAAGAGAGAGAAATTGAAAATTGAAAAACTTAGGGTTTGGCTGGCAAATGTCGCAACAGAGCACTGTAATTGCATTTTTTTTTTTTAAATTATTTTTTTTTTTAATTTTTTTTTTTTGAAAATGGGGGGACAAGTGTCCCCACATGTCCCCTTCTAGCTCCGCCCATGTGTCTGGTTGTTTTAAGATGGCATTGGTCTTTAATTTTAACTAATGATGGAGTATAAGTGAGTGTTTAGCAATGGTAAACAAGGCCAATAAATCCTACGAACACTGGACTGTAAAAATATAATTTAATTCCACTAATAAGAAATCTGATCAGAAAAGAAAAGCTACAATTCAAAAAATTTTGGGCTGAATATCGTTTTTGCCATTACAGGTTATGGCTAGATGATCAAAAAGAGTTTTTGTTCCTTTTCAGCCTCTTTTGGAAAAGGTTGTTGCTTGGTTACAATTTCCATCACCGATGTATGGATTTATAGATGTTGATAAGAATAATGTCTTTGTGCGAGTTAATAAGCCAAACTCTCGTACAAAGTTTATTTTCTATGGTGGAGATTCCAGTTCAGTTGAAGAGTCTCGTGAAAGAGCAGCCCACAAAGCTGTGAAGAGATTGATGTGTCGGTTTAGTGTGCGCGTGTCTGATTTCACTTATGAGCGCATTAAGATGTATCGATTGTGTGTGAAGTTGTTTAAGAATAGATGTGCTGAGTTAGTGCAGGACAGAGAAGATTTAAGTCGCATACGTGCAGAATGCAGTACAAGGGAGGATGCATCATTTCATGATGTTCATGTTTCGTTGGATTTTGTACAGGTTTTGGGAGTTTTAGTTAGGAAGACTGGCGTTTCTGTGACTGGCATTGAAACCACTAGATTAGAAGGACATGGCTATATGTCTTGGTTAATGGTCACTTGCCCTCGTAATAGTATTTCTATGGAATGCATTTTCAGCGACCCCTAACTTGAAGTGCACATTGCTGAGCAGCGAGTTGCAAAGAAAGCATGTTTCTTTGTAGCTTCTGTTTGCAATCTCGAAATAGTGGATGCTAACTACGGTTCTGCTGGCAAAGATTAGTGGTGAATGTTCTTTGCTAAGGGAGAAGTATCTGATTTTGAAGGGTCATCTTGAATGCTTGGAGAGCAGTTCAAAGCAAGCTGATTCTGTTAATGGATTAGGAGATGACGCATGTGTGACGCCGAATGATGAAGCAAATCAAATTCCAGTTTTAGTTCTCCCACCAAGTCTTCCGGCTAAGCGTAGGATTAATAGTAGTGAGCCATCTACCAGTGGTGTGGGAGTGCAGATTCCTGACAATTTTGTTCCTGGTCTGTCGGATTTAGAGGATGTCTATAAATGTGCTAGGATTGAATAGCTGTGTTTAGTATGCCTAACTATCTTTTGGATTAAGGTGATTGAGGGTATGTAAGCAACTGTTAATCCTTTGGTTGGGATATGGTAAAGTAATTAGGCAGCTTTTGTCAATTATTAATAGATGTACGAAACAAATGTAATAGTTGTTGTCATATTGCTAAAATCCTGTAGTTTAGTCCTTGTATTGTAATGATGTTCCTACCTTGACTGTACTGCTATTATGGCCTCATTTGAATGAATATCGGTTTTCTTTGTTCCTACTTTAGTGTGTAAATTACTTTTCTTTCTGCCTTAATGTACTTTCTTTGATTATCATCTTTGTTGCATGATTTTTTTTTTTTTGGGTGTAACCTAATTTAGTATGTAAAGTGTTGTTATTTCTGTTTTTAAGTACTGTTTTACAGAGGGTGCTTTTGTTCGTTACTGTCCTGCTATTCATGGTTACTTGTTTTTGCGAGTATTAAAGAAGTAATCAACAGAAGGTTTTCGGAAATTCTATTACGTTCCAATTCTTCAAAACTGCTCTGTATTGGTGGAAATGGGTACTGCCCTAGCTGAACTTAGTTTCTCTTTATCTTAGTTAATAATTCTGTGTTAGTGTATCATTTCTGCCATATAGTAATTGCCGTATATTGTGTGTTAGATTGTCGTTATGGCATTCCTCGCTTATCTCGGAATAGCCATAGTAGATTGAATAGGGCAGCACAGCAGTCGGCGTTTGCTAGGTATATAGTTTCATCAGATGTTAGACTATTTAGGATTGCCATCATTGTGCTTGTGATAAAATTGACTTGACGTATATTTGCAGTCCATCTTTACCAGACACTCGGTGTCCTACTAGGCACTCTCGACAAAGTTCTACCTCTAAACGACAAAAATGTATACAAGAACTTACTATGTCACAGCTACATAGGTACACTGTATTCATTGAAGTAGGCATTTTTATGCTCATCAGTGCTGTGATGCATCTATTATAATTTTAGTAATTAGGTTAGATACCATACTAGGACAATACTTGTTCTGCTTTATTATCGTGCAGATGCCATAGTAAGATGATCTTTGTTCCATGCAGTGGAGCAGACCCAAAAGTACTTGTACCTTCTAAAAAGAAGACTAAACAAACTCATGTACAAGGTAAATAGGTATGCTTATTATGTACCTTGTATTGTTTATTACTGTGTTTGATATCAATTAACCTATGTGCATGTCTTTCCCTGTGTTCCTGTAAGATATCCTTGGTGCTGCTACAGATCGACAGCTTCCAGTGCAGCCTTTCAGACTTTATATGCCTGTTTTTTGTGACAAATGTGGTGCGAAGAAATTTATGTTTGAATCCTTGCATTTCTGTTGTGGTAATGGAGACATTACGATAGCTGCAACTGATTATCCTCATGAGATTGTTTACTTGTTTACTTCAAAGGATGAAGGTGCTGTGCATTTTCGAAAGTATGCTAGATTGTACAACAATTTGTTTGCATTTAGTTCATTAGGGAGCCATTATTATGCAAGCACTTACAAAGGGATTTATTTATTCAAGCTGCACGGCCAAATGTATCATTTTGTGCCGGATTTATTGCCTGATGATAGCAGCCCTAAGTGATTAGGGGATTTTGCTCCCACCAATCGGAATGCGCCACGTGGGCCAATCAGGTCCTGCCAAGTGTCCCTCAATTGGAACTGTCAGGGCTTGCCACGTGGCACCCGCTTATTTGTCCACCTTGGACCTATTATGTCATGACACGTGGCATACTCCATGCCTAATGGAGAAACCGGCCACCCAGGCCCAACTTCCGAGGGAAGCCCAATCAGCCCTAGGTTAACCTAAACCTAGGATTAGCACGTTTCCCAAGGTTATAAATACCTCCCTTAATCCTCATTAAGGGAGATTACATGATTAACAGGCTGATCACGCTAAAAAAGCAGATTACCTACATTAAACACTCTCACCTAGAGAGACCCAATCACTTTAATTTCCGCATTAATTACTCCTTAAACAAGTACTAACTTGACCGTTGGAGGCGGAGCTCCCACCACCAGGAGTCTCCGTTGTTTTGCAGGTACAGGCGTCCGGTTCCAGTCTCGGAATTGTAACTCTCCCGCAGGACATCAGAAAACCCCGAAACATTTGGCGCTGTCTGTGGGGAGAGTACTTCTGAGATGGCATCCACGTTTGTACCGACTCCTGAAGAGAGGCGTCCCCTAGACGACCCTCAAGTTCAGTCGGACCACGATACTGAGAATGAATTTGAAGTTGAAGCTCACACAGCTTCAGACGGGACCCTAAGGGCCCGACGTACCCGTCAGACCGAAAGGAGAGAACGGGAACATCTTCAAACTGGAAGTGAGCCAGCAGGCGCACCGCCTGTTCGGCAGCAGCCGACTGATGGGTCTGCTCCCATCACAAGGAACGAACTCATGACCTTCATGAGGGACTTCAAGGGAGAAATTCAAGAGTTGATCAAACAGAAGCCGCCTGCTCTGGACAAGGAGCAGTCGGCTAAGAAACCCTCCACTGCACAGAAGAGGAAGCCAGTTCAAGGGCGAGAGGCGACTCCTCATCCTAAATCTAGGAAGCGGGAGCCGACTGCCCTTGATTTCACAAAATACCGTTTTCCTACTCCAGGAACTAGGAAACCTGTTTGTCATATTCAGGCGGACGGGTCGAGAAAAACATACACAGACGCTCGGCTACTGCTAGAGCAGAAGAAGAGTGACCGATTGTCAGAGTCGGCCTCTACTTCAAACTTCCAAGACAGTCTGTGAAATACCTCGATGAGGCATACTCAGTCGTATCATGAGAGTCAGTCAGGCGGCACCTCCCGTCAGTCCGGCTATCATAGCGACCAGGCGGTACCAAACTTACCGTTTGTACCGCAACAACAGTATTTCTTACAGCCTCCTCCGTTTGGTGGACATGCAGCAAAAAATGTCCAACCTATGGACTGGCAGCTACGGTTGCTTAGACTTGGTGAACAGCCGTCGGCCTTCTCCAAGGAAATTACTGAAGCCGCTCAGCCGGCCAAAGTGAAAAATGTATTAGTAGGCGCCTATGACGGCACTACTAACCCAGAAGACCATCTGATGGCATTCACCAACCTGATGTACCTTCAAGGGTTGGATGATCCCACCTGGTGCAAGTGTTTCCCAGCGACTCTCAAAGGAATCGCACAACAATGGTTCGGCAACCTGCCGACTGGTTGTGTAAATAACTTCAGGACGCTTGCTTACTTATTCACCTCCAACTTCGCCATGAACATCCCTGCGAAGAAGACGACCCTTGATTTAGGAACAATTCAGCAGGGCGAGAAGGAGGGGCTTCGTTCTTACATCAGGCGGTTTAACCTGATGAGAATACAGATTCAAGGGTTACCGGATGAAGTAGCCTATACTGACTTTTTCAGAGGTCTCAAAGACGGGTCGACCTTCAAATTTGATTTGGTCCGAAAGAGGGTGGCGACTCTTCAAGAGGCCTTGATTGAAGCGGAAGCCTATATACAGGCGGCTGATCTTTGTAGTACGGGAAAACAGTCGGACGGGAAAAGGTTCGAAAAAACAGAAGGACGACAGAAACAGTCGTCAAACAAAGACGAGAAAAGAAAAGAGGTCTGGGCGGCTGATTCCTCTAAACAGCCGGCCCAGAAAAAGAAAAAAGAATTCAAACCATACTCCCCAAAGTATGCGTTTAACAAGGATAGCCAGTTTATCCTAAAGGAAATCAAGGGACGGATCTCAATTGAGAAGCCGGTCCCCATGAAGGGTTCTGCAAACAACCGGAACCAAGATAAATTATGTGCTTATCATGAAGATGTTGGTCATCACACCAATGAATGCATCAGTCTCATGCGGTATCTGGACCGCCTGGCTGAACAAGGTGATCTTGACACTTATGTCAAGAAATCTACGAGGAACACTTCCTCAAAAAAGAAGTCGGCCAAAAAGAATCAAAAGGCCGACAGCTCCGATACAGATGATGCAGTCGTCTACACCTTTGCAGGCGGCTTCTCAGGAGGCGGCCCCACTATTAGGGGCAACAAAGACAATATCAGGCGGTTAGATGTAAATTTCGTTCACCAAGAACGGCCCTCCAAATATTCATTTCCTGAGATTGTCATCACTGAAGAAGATCTAGGAGGGGTAAGAGGGCCGCATGACGACCCTATCGTTATTGAATGTAAAGTGGCCAACCAGAGAGTTGGCCGAATCCTCATAGATACCGGAAGCTCCTCAGATCTCATCAGTAGCAAATGTCTGTTGAAACTAAAATATCAGACTGATTGCATACATCCGGCCTCCCACCCTTTAGTAGGGTTTGGAGGAGGAGTCGTCCACCCAGTGGGACGAGTGGATTTACCATCCGCCTGGGCAAAAAAGGGGAAGGACGACACATGGTAGTCTGGTTCCTGGTAGTAAAAGAACTCTCGGCCTACAACATGATTCTGGGACGACCAACCCTGAATAATTCCAAGGCTGTTATAATCCCATCTCTTATGTTGCTCAAGTTTGAGAGGGATAATGGAACAGTCGGGTCCCTAAGGGGAGATCAGAGGATGGCCCGAGAGTGCTATCTCTCGGATGTCAAGCCCACTGTTATGGCCACTGGGTCAAGTGGTGGAAAAAACAGACCTTGACAATGTCAAGGAGAGTGCGCCTGTTCAAGAAGCAGGCGGCAAGAAGAGAAAGGCATCCCAGACAGGGGCCGCACGAAAGGACAAAAAATAGCAATCATTGGCAGAGGAGCGGTCGGATGAATTCCGCCCTCAGCCGGCTGGTGAGCATACGGATCTAATCCTAGACGACTCGCGTCCTGACCGAACAGTCAAAGTTGGGACGACTGCTCTGAGAGTCCTAGGTGACGACTTTCACAAACTATTGAAAGAATACAAGGACATCTTTGCATTTGAAGTCCATGAAATGCCAGGCATTAGTCCTGATCTGGCGGTACATAAACTGGTCGTGGATCCGAAAAAGAAGCCGGTACGGCAGAAGAAGCGGAACCATGGAGAAGAAAGAAGTCAGGCGGCAGCCGCCGAAGTTAAAAAATTACTTGATGCAGGGTTCATTCGGCAATGTTACTTCCCAGACTAGGTTGCAAATGTGGTGCTTGTCAAAAAGCCGAATGGCACCTGGCGAATGTGTGTAGACTACACAGACTTAAACAAGGCGTGCCCCAAAGACAGTTACCCTCTGCCTAAAATTGATAACCTGGTCGACTCAACAGCCGGCCATGCTTTGATGAGCTTTATGGACGCCTACTCTAGTT